AGACCAAGAGGAGGGACGTGCCAGAAGTGGGATCATGACCTTCATTTAGACTTAGCCATTATCACTCCCATTTGGACCTAGACAACCAGGTCAAGAGGAGCTGTGTCTTGCTCAAGGCCACGCAATGATTCAGCACTGACCTGCCTCAGCAGTGACCCATCCAGAGTGAGAATCCAGGGACCTGACTCCCGGTTCCTCTTCTATCCATGAACTCTGCTGCCAACAACTCTGCTGCTAAAGACTAGGCATCCAGGGCACAAAGGGTGGGCTTCAACTTTTGTGTTAGTTTTATTTTTAACCCCCCTTTCCTTTCTTTTCCTTTTTGCTGTTGGTGTGGTGATGCTACTATTTTGGGTTTTCATGCTTGGTTGGGCGCACACACACAGGGTTGTGGTGTCCCAGAAATCACATTAGTTTCCTTCTTTCTTTCTTTCTTTCTTTCTTTCTTTCTTTCTTTCTTTCTTTCTTTCTTTCTCTTTCTCTCTCTTTCTCTCTTTCTTCCCTTCCTTTCCCTTCCCTTCCCTTCCCTTCCCTGTCCTGCCCTGCCCTGCCCTGCCCTGCCCTGCCCTGCCCTGCCCTGCCCTGCCCTTCCCTTCCCTTCTCCTTCCTTCCTTCCTTCCTTCCTTCCTTCCTTCCTTCCTTCCTTCCTTCCTTCCTTTCTTTCTTCCTTTTGGGTCACACCTGACATTGACCTTCCCACTATATTATTGTTTTGACGCCCATAGAGATCACATTCTTGTTGTGGTACCAGGGGTCTTAAGACAGTCTCCTGATCACTTGATCACTTGACAACCCGTTACTCATTGATTTGCTCAAGAGGGCACTAGTAACGTTTCCATTCGTCCCTGTCGCGTGCTAGTGTAGCCCAATGGCGTGTGCTCGTTCTAGGAACACAAAGAGCCTCAAACCAATCTTTCAGGGTCTGGATGAAGAAGTCTGATCATCTCGTAGGTGGGCGGCCACATGATCTTTTGACGTCCCATGGAATCCAGTTGGTAATGGCTCAGTCCAGTCGTCATTCCAAATCTCATTATGTGTCCAGTCCATCTGATTTTCGACGCCTTGGCAAATGGGACAGCATCCCTGATTCTTAACCATCAACAGAGTTCGGAACTCCGTATTCTTTCTCTCATTTGAGTGAAGTATGATACTCTAAGCATAGCTCTTTCGATTCCTCTTTGGGAGACCCGAATAGTGTTCTCATCCTGTTTTCATAGGGCCCAGGTCTCTGAGATGTATGTTAGTGCAGGAAGAACAGTGGAATTGAAGAGATGTGCCTGGAGCCAGAGGTTCTTCACCCTCTTAGCTATTTCTTCGACACTCTTGAAGGCGTTCCAAGCTGCTGTCTTCCTCCTGAGCAACTCAGGTGCCAGGTCATTGGTCATGTTGACTTCTTGACCTAGGTACACATAACTGTTGCATTCAGAGATGTTTGTTCCATTGAGAGTGAATGGAATGTCAGGAACAAGACTGTTTCTCATAAACATTGTCTTCATGAGATTCAGCTATTAGTCTGACCTTTCCACACTCACTCTCGGGCCGAGACTCATGCATGAGTGAAGCTCCACAGAACCAGGTAAGCGGAACTCTGTGACCTTGGACTCCAGGCTCAAGGGACCCGGGAACAGAGATCCTTTGCCTGCTCCCACCAATCTCCGGCGACCAAGGGATTAAAACCAGGAGCCCCACCCTGCTCTGTCCTATCTGCTTCCACCATTCGCTGGTGACTCAAGGATTCCACACAGAAGACACACCCTACCGGTACCAGATAAATACCTTGCCTGGCAGACCTTCGCTACCTCCACTACCCAGCCGCCACCACCTCCAGGATGCTTTCTGGAGCAAAGTGGCCAAGCAAAACATCATAAGACACTTAATACCCATCTTAATGGATTGCCGCGCCATATTTGATAGGGTTCAAATATGGTTTGAACCATGGGAACACCTGCAAGAGTGAATAGAGGTCGCCCTAAAAGCTTCTATACCTCTCGGAGAGCCTGGCATGCTACTGAGAACATCCCGCCCGCACGGCAGAGCCTGACAAGCTATCCGTGGCGTATTCGATATGCCAAAACGAGTAAATACAATGGGTCTCAGGACAGTATTTCTGGCATTGTACTCAGCATTTGGGTGGGGTTGAATCCCGTCACATGCTTGCAAGGCAACTGTTCTACTGTTGAGCCACATCCCAGGGTCTAGAGTTTTAGGATTTTGAATGACAGCAGTCATATACTTTTGGAGTAGAATGACATTATCTTTTCCTTAGTTTTGAGAGGAAATATTGTTGAAATACATGGATTCATTATTATGCACTGGTGTGCTCCAAGACCAGTTTCTGATGGGAATGGGCATTGGTTTTTCACACACTCGTGAGAACAGGCTGTTTGAGAATTCATTTAAGCTCAATTCTAATTCTATCTACCTGGAGATGGCATGAGATTCTATGAGTTAAGGTCTCAGACTCCCTAGAATGCCCTTGATTTCAGATATCAGTTGTAAGCCCCTGGGGTTTTATGCTCTCTGTCTAACCAATAACAGAATGGAAGGGGCCGTGATTCTTTCTCAGACTCCTTGTGCCTGTTACAAGCCCATGTTAATTCCTGTACTTCTGACCAACTGCTTTTAAATCAGAAGTTCCCAGAAAAACCTCCTGAGGACAATTTGCTAGAATGGCTCTCAGAATTCAGGAAACCCATTTCTCTCCTGATCACTGGTTTATTATAAAGGATGTAAGAGGAAGAGTCTGATGGAAGAGATTACAGGGCAAAGTGTAGAGAAATGGCTCAGGGTTTCCTCCGTCCCACTCCAGGCAAGCTGTTCACCCCAGACTTTCATGTGTTCACCAACCCAGAAGCCCTCCAAAGCTGCCCTCTTAAATTATTATGGATTTTTCATTCAGAGGCATAATGGTTAACTCAATGGACTTTGACAATTTTTCTTAATCTTCAGTCCCTCTCCCATGCCCTCTGAGCAGTAGGACTGGCACACTCTAATCACGTTATTTTCTTGGCAACCAGCTCCCATTCTCACATGTATTTACCCAGAATTACCTTCACAAACAGTCAAAGCTACCAGTAGCACTGTAGCACTGTCCTCCCGTGGTTCATTGATTTGCGCGAGTGGGCACCAGTAACATCTCTATTGTGAGACTTGTTACTGTTTTTGGCATATTGGATATGTCACAGGCAGCTTGCCAGGCTCTGCCATTGGGCAGGATACTTTTGGTAGCTTGCCGGGTCTCTGAGAGGGGTGGAGGAATCGAACCCGGGTTGGCCGCATGCAAGGCAAATGCCCTACCTGCTGTGCTATTGCTCCAGCCCAAAGCTACCAGTAACACTGAGAAAATTCCAAGGCTTTGGGGGAGCCAGAGGCAGGAACTATGGATCAAGTACATATGAGAAATCTTTATATAAGTAGCCAATTTATAAGTTCCTTAGGAATCACAGTATCACAGCCATTTGGGGGAGTTCTTGGGTTTATATTTAAATCTGTGAAATAAAACCAAACTGGTGGGTCAGGGCAGGGGAGGGGAGGAAGTACTCTTTCAATCCCCTAGCAGTTGGAAGTGTATTTTGTGTTTGGATTGGAATTTTATTTTTGGGGGGGATCAAGTCCAGGCACTGTGAATTAAATGGCTGGCAGCCTTCCTGGCCTGCCACGGGAGTGTGAAACAAGCTATTGTTCTGATGAGTGCTGGTAGGCGTGTGACTTGTGCCCTGCGAAGAATCTGAGTTGGAGGGCCTAGCACATGTCCGTCCTAGTTCCAAGGCACACTGCAGCTAGTCACAGGAACCAGCAGGAACCACTGCAGAATTAATTAATTAATGAATTATAATTGCCATATGAAGCAATTTATAGATGTAGAAACCAATCACATGCAATCTCAATTTCCCAACAAGGAACCAGATTTGGGTAGAATTCCTCCACTCATGTTTACCTTCTTTCCCAGATTCTGTCTTATGGGGAAAATCTATCCTTCTCATACATGTGCTTCCAGGATTTTTTAGAATAGTCTTCTGCCAGTTTCCCTTCCAGTTTCTCTCAATGATACCATCATCTACCTAATCACCCAAATCCAACCATCCTCAGAATGTTCCTCATCAGCCATTACCCACACATTTATCCGTTGCCCATAGAATCTCAGGGGAGCCTTAGCTACCCCTTTGTCTGTGTCTCCAACTTATCACCTTTGCTCATACTCTAGACATTCTTTGCTGGAATGACCTTTAAATTGGCTCCTTTGCCTCTAACACACAGATGGCAGAGTCTTCCTTGTAAAATACAGATCTAATCATCCTGCTTCTCCGATGCTCCTCACTGGGTAGAGAATGCTTGTTCTTTAAATATGTTTTCTTGTTATTGTTGTTGTTGTTTGTTTATTTTGGGGCAACATACAGCAGTGCTCACAGCTTATACCTGGCTTTGTTCTCAAGGATCACTCCTGGTTAGGTTTTGGGGACCACAGGCTGCACCATTTCTTCTCTCTTTTTTCCTTCCTTCCTTCCTTCCTTCCTTCCTTCCTTCCTTCCTTCCTTCCTTCCTTCCTTCCCTCCCTCCCTCCCTCCCTCCCTCCCTCCCTCCTTCCTTCCTTCCTTCCTTCCTTCCTTCCTTCCTTCCTTCCTTCCTTCTTTCCTTCCTTCCTTCTTTCCTTCCTTCCTTCATTCCTTGATTCCTCCCTCCCTCCCTCCCTCTCTCCCTCCCTCCCTCTCTCCCTCCCTCCCTCCCTCCCTCTCTCCCTCCCTCCCTCCCTTCCTCCCTCCCTCCCTCCCTCCCTCCCGTCCTTCCTTCCTTCCTTCCTTCCTTCCTTCCTTCCTTCCTTCCTTCCTTCCTTCCTTTCATCTTTCTTTACTTTCTTTTTTTGTTGTTGTTGAGCTAGCCTTCATGTGTTAACGTGTTCTACAATTCACCAATTGCTATGGTATAGAGTTCAGTGGTTTTTAGTATATGTATGGACTCATTTCAGAATATTTGAATTGATTTGTAATTCTTCTCCTCTCCAGATTCCAATAATGAGAGACCCTGGATGGATTCGAAATGTATGGTCTTCAAACATTAATGTAAGTGAAGCTGCAATGAACGGCTTGTTATTGGTGATTGGTTTCAAGAGAGAAAATACTGGATGCATTGGGGCTGGTTGCCATGCATGCGTGTGATCTCTGAATCAAGGGTCCTTTCAGAGTTGGTCTATGGTGTTTTATGGTTAGATAAGCCCTGGATGGAGGTAGGAGCAACTGGATTGGTTTTAATCTCTTTCAGTGTTCCAGCCTCTCCTGATCATACATGTGCTTTTGTGATCTTCCTAGGGTGAGGGTGGGGGTAGGAGGAAGCATGCCATGGCATCTTAGTGCCACAGGACATGGCTTATATTAGAGCTCAAGTTATTTCTAGCCCTTGATGACCCACCTTTACCTTGAGACAATAAGTTTGGCAGAGAAGAAGCTCAAAAAGCCTCAATAGATCTAGTTCCTTTTGTGATGGCTCCTGAGGCTTGAAGAAACAAGAGGAAAGAAAGTCTCTGTTCTTTTTTTTTTTTTTTAATAATGTAGGAGTACTGCTATTTATTCAGCCATTGATTAAGCTGATCGAATTGGGCATGAACTCCACATTATTTTTTTATTCAGAATGTTAATTTTATTTTATTATTATTTCCCCCCCTTTTTATTGATTCACTGTGAGATAGTTACAAAGCTTTTATGTTTGAACTTCGGTCATATAATCATCAAACATCCATCCCTTCACCAGTGCACATTTTCCACCACCAAAATCTCCAGTATTTTGCCGCTCCCCCACCAACTCTGGTTCCAATCCTTCCCCTGCCTGTGTGACAGACAATTTTCCCCATATTCTCTCTCTATTTTGGTTACATTACAGTCCCACCACTACTCAAAGCTGCCAAAAAGGCAATGCTAGATGTTTTGTTTTGTATTGCTTGTTATGGATAGAATATAATGCCCAGGAAATTCTGTGTAGTTCTCTTCCGGGAGTTTAGTTTATAGTCTCTGGGTCTTGGCTGTTGATGAGATTACATGGCACTGGAGGCAGTTTGCGGGTCTGACTGCCAAGCTATTGGAGAACTGGGGACCTGGGGGGAGGAAGCCCAGTCTCTATCCAAGCAGGCTTGGAGACCTCAGTCATGGGTTCTCGCATACCTCGGTTTTCCTGCCGGTCCGCTCTTGGGTGAGATTCATCCCATCTTGGGTGAGGCTCATCCCCTCTTGGGTGAGGCTCGTCTGAGTGTGTGGAGAGAGGCCTTGGACATGATGGTGGTTGGATTATGGAGTTTTTTGGCTGCCAGGGTTCTGCTTGAGTTGGGGAGGGAAACTCAACCCACCCCCATCCAAGGTGCCCCAGTGACGACAGCCTGGTGCCGGGTCAGGGCGTTCCGCGTCGCTCTCTTCTGGGAGCTTTAGTTTATAGTCTCTGGGTCTTGGCTGTTGATAAGATTTTATGGTACCAGGGGCAGTTTGTGGGTGTGACTGCCAAGCTACTGGAAAACTGGGGACTTGGGGGTGAGGAGACCCAGTCCCAATCCAAGCGGGCTTGGAGATCTCAGTCACGGGTTTTCATTTATCTCCATGCTACAGGCCCGCACTGTGTCTTTTGGTCTCTTTGAGATTTATGGGTCTCTGAAATAAGTCAAATAAGTGAGCTTATATAGCTGAGCCAGAGGTGGTTTGTGGGTGTGGCTACCACATACCTAACTTTTGGTCATTTAATCTCTTGGTAAACTTGACCCCAAGTTGTTGGGGTCTTGCCAAAGGCACAAAAGCAATTTTGAGGTATCTGGAAGTCTGAAGGCATCATCAGGATGCTGATGCTCCTCAGGTACAGGTTGACCTGCTGGCAGCAACATATTCTCACAGTCTCTGTTCTTAGTGAACTCTCAGTCTTCAGGGGGACCCTGCCACCAGGGTTTGGGCCAAGGCCAGCAGTGCCAGTCAGAATAAAGGAGATGAATTCACAGGTTCCTTTTCATTGATTTTCTTTTGGGTGGGGGAGGTGGGGGGTGGTTTCGGGCCATACCTTACAGTGCTTGGGGGTCACTTCCAGCAGTGTCCTGAGAGCCATGCAGTCCCCTGGATGGAACCCAGGGCTTTGTGGGAAGCACGAGCTGCAGCCCTCAGATCTGTCTCCTCGGCTCAGAGGCCCCTAGGCAATGAAGGAAGAAGGTGGCGAGGGACTCTGTGAGGAGCCCAAGTTCTCTCTCCGAGGGCAGTGACAGGAATGGGGCCAGAACCAGAGGCCAGGAATCCTGTCTGGAGGGCACTTAGTGGCAGCTGAGGCCAAGAGAAGAGCAGGAATCTTCTCTGGAGGAGAGGAAGGGCTAACAGGCCCTGGAAGTGAGCTCTTCCTTGGGAAGAGGGCAGGTGGGCTGCATATTGGTGGACTGTGGGTGCTTCCAAAGGGCGAATCCAGACATGGGGTCTGGACCCCAGCCACCAGCTTCCTGGCCCCTGCTCCTGGCCTGTCGGCAGGGTCATGGTCTGTGTCTTGGGAGGAGGGAGAGGAGAACTGCCCCTTGCCCTTTCTGCATGGTCCTGTCCTGGCCCCTCATAGGGCATTATACTAACAGGACAAGAATTCAGGGACAGAGAAGCAAGGCAAGATGCTTCTGCTTGAAGGAAATGACAGGAACGTCTTTACCCTTTCAGACAAGTTCCTGGACAAGGGTTCCATTCTGCTCACAGTCCTGTCACTTCAAATGTATGTGACGCTGAATGTGAACTGTCTTGGAACTTCTGTTCTTCCAGCATCCATCAGTCACTTGCCTAGGGCTTGAGCATGACATGCCAGCTGCTCCTTGTGACACTGTGCTGGAGGGAACATGGGGCTAGTGAGAGCTTTGATGGCAGGGCGAGGGTGGGTTTAGAAGAAAATTCAGAAGGAAGCTTTGGAGAGTGGCTGAGGCTTAGGCATGAATGCTGAGAGAGGCCTTGTTGGCTTGACGTGGAGGTGAGGACCAGCTCAGTACCTGGGAGAGAGGGGCTACATGGGAATGTAGAGATGAGAATCGAGGATCAGGAGGAAGCGGGTGACAATGGGGGTCTCATCTGGACCTTGGGCTTTATCTCCAGGTCTTGGTAAAGGGTATGGGACCCTGAGTGGTGATGCCTTGTCTGATCTGCAGCTATGTTTGTGGGGGTGGTCAGAAGGCAGGGGGCTGGAGGCAGGGAAACTCACTAGGTGTCCAAGGTTGGCTTGGTTGGGTATGAGGAGCTTGTGGACCATCTTGGTGCAAGTGCCCAGCAGGGAGAGATAGAGGTACAGCCTGGAACTGACCTGCCAGGTCTGGACTGGAAATTCTGAACCATGGATCAGTATTGCATCACTGGTGTCCAAGGTGGGCAGATGGCCCAGGGAAGAAGTATGGCCAAAGGAGATGGGCATCTGGGTGAATTTCTACTCAACACTTTCTCTATCACTGCAGTAGCTGTATTTTATGGTTTGGTTGTCCTTGGAAGATAGGTTCATATATTCCAAAAATGTTGATTGACAAGAAAATGAAAAGCAAGAGAGAAACACAATAGGACGAAACCTGAGACTTGAGATCTCTCTGTGTCTTAGTCCTGGTGCAGATGTGCTAGGCAGAGGCCAGACAGTTGCTCAGCAATGTCACTGCTGTGTAGGGAAGCAGGGAGGTAGACAAACTCATCTTTTTGGAGTTTAAAGTGAAGGCTTCTCGGAGGAAGAGGTGAACACAAAAATCCCAATTAGTGGCTTCTCCATTCCCCCACCCCCGCCTTTATGCAGTTGGGACATGTTAGCTCCCCTCAGTAGAGGAACAGTTTATGTGGAATTCACCACTGAATCATTTGCCTCTGGTGGGCATATGGAAATTTCTAAAATTTTTAGATGAACAGTAAAAAAAACTGCATACTTTAATCAGCTTTGTCTTTAAGGCAGGAAACATTGTAGGTACAAGAAAACGCAGGTTAGGAGATAGCAAAAAAAAAAAAAAAAAATCCTAAGGCTTTCAGTTAGATGCACAATCTCGACTCTTACACTTCTGCCCTGCCTGGTAGCTTGGCGGTATCAGAGCAGAAGGATATGGACTGCAGGGCCTTTGTCCATGTATAAGGAGAGGCTTTCTTTTTCTTTGTGACTGATGTACATCCCTTTCTCTCTCTCTTTTTCTTTCTTTCTTTTTTTTTTTTTTTTTTTTGCTTTTTGGGTCACATCCAGTATTCTCAGGGATTATTCCTGACTCTGCACTCAGGAATTACTCCTGATGGTGCTTGGGAGACCATCTGGGATGCTGAAGATCGAACCTGGGTCAGACGCGTGCAAGGCAAACACCCTACCTGCTGTACTATCTCTCTGGCCCCTGGCCAGAACCTGCTCTCTGCCCTTTTGTTAGTCTCACAGCTGAGTGTGTTGTGGCTGATGTTTTCCTCCAAGAGCTCACTGACCAGCAGAGGAATGATGGGAGGCATCCACCTGGACACGGGGTGTTTGTGCGTGGAAAAAGGGACCATTGAGCAGGTGATAGAACCTGAGCCTCGCTCTTGGCCCTGAGGGATATCGGAGGTCAGCTCTGGGCCTGAAGAATCTGGCCTGGAAAGCAGAATTCCCAAGAAATACACACTTACAACACACCTCCCTCCTCCCTATTTCCTGTTCTCTCCTAGAGACCCAGTGAAGGCAAAAGGTCTGGAGTTCTGGAGGGACAGTTGAGCAAAGAAATGAAATGTTTGCTCAACTGCTTAGCTCTGTTTTGCTCAGGGCATGGGATGAAGTGGAACAATTTGTTACATGGAGCTCAACACCTCATCCATTGTGCTGATGACATCCAGTACTAGAAAAAGGCCTCGTCCCTGGCCAAAGTGTGCTGACTTGATTGCAACAGTGCTAATAAGAGCAACAATTCCCAGAATTCTAGGGTTCTCCTGGCCCAGTGATGTTGAAGCTGACCTAAAGAAATAGGAAGTTATGCAACTTTTCAGTTTATCTATGGCCAGATTTTAAATGGCACATATTAAATGATAGGTTCTTTTCTCTAAGTGTTATATTAACTCGTTCAAATGCTCACAGCAGCCGTATTGTATTTGTCTGTGAT